CTACTTATTCTGTACAGAATACAATCTCCGTCTACCTTGGCTTCCACGACTGCTATCTTCTTCTAAGGAACCGGACCTGGAAGGTCGCAGTAGTTAGGGTTTAACCGGCTTAGCCTTAACTCCTTTGCGATATAGTAACACTGAGCTCGTGAGGTTGACGGCAAAGAACGTGTCCAAATCACCTCAGTTGTCTTTCTTGGATGGCCTGGGATATCATTGCAGTGTTGTGGCTGGGAGTGTGGACTACCTCATTTGAGGCAGAGTCGGTGTACTTTACTCAAAGTATGGTCCTTAAAAAGATGTGGTCAAATACTCCCAGTTTTCGTTCATCTTCCACGCGCATAACCCAGCATTCGCGTTCGTATAAAAGTACAGACCTTACAGATGCATGGCACCCGCGGAACTTTGTGGAGATAGAAATACCGCATCGGATCCATAGGCACTTTCGAAGGCTGGATACTTCATGAAACAGGGTCGGACGTAGTTATTCACGTCCCTTAAAAGTGCCATTGTTCCTCTCAATTGGTATAAAATGATTACCATCTAGTAGTTTCCTCTAAGCATTAGGTTGTCTTGTCTTGAATTCTTCTTTTTCTGCTTCACCTTCGCTTCCCCCAGGCTTATCGCAAAATCTCAGGGGGTTCTCTACGAAAACGCACTCATCCAGCTGGGCTTCCGGTGTGAGTACCGCAATAATCTGGGTCGCCTACAACTTTACTATGGCAACAAGAGTACCGCGGCCTTCACCTCCATAGTACCCACCATTCGATACATCGAGATCTCACCCACGACGAGTTTCAGTCCCCTCAATCTCGATCTGCGTCCGGCGCTGGCTACCCTGGATCCCGGCACTCAGATGCAGCAGCTCCTCAACGTGGAATGCTTGACCGATTTCAGGCAGCCCCCGGTGCTCTCTGTCTCTTTTTCGTAGGTGTCCTTTTTTAAATTTGTCTTCTCTTACCACCACCATCATCATCTTCCAGTTTTTCTGTCTAAGCAATACTTTCGGTAGATTTGTAAGGCTACAAGATGGAGAACCTTCGTGACTGTATGAATTGGAAATAGGGCATCCCAAGAAATGTAATTTGAAAATATGTCCTTTGGGCCAAAAAAGACAAATTTAATCAGTAAATTTTCTAGTTTGCTTTCCCAGCTCGTCTTCAGACTAACGAGAATGTCCAACGAATAATTAAAATTTCATACCTGCAGAAAAAATCAATAGTCAGAGAACTGATTGGTAGCTAAGGTATCTATCAATCGTTTACAAGATCCCATGCGAAGCTTGTGATACCGTATATTGTGGCAAAGCAGGAAGGTCCGTCCCCACAAGCATCAACTGGTAGTGGAGAGACGTGACCATTTACCCGAAGTGGCTGTGAATAGTCTTGATACAGGCCACACCTTCCCATGGGACAAAACGCGCATCGTCGGATTTTGCCCCTCCAGAAATGTCGAGAATTTCTTGAGGCCATGCACCGACGACTCATGCACCATTCGACATATTGAGTTAGATGGAATGTATAAACATCTCAAAGAATGGTGGAAGAGATGAGGGCCGCACAATACAGACTGGCAGAAACCACAGCTACCAATCAGCTCCCACTCTATATGACTATTGATTTTTTCTGCATGCTTGAAATTCTAATTGTTCGTTGTACATTCTCGCTAGTCTGAAGACGAGCTAGGGAACCAGTCTCGAAAATGTACTAATTAAATTTACCTTTTTTGTGCCAAAAATATATTTTATTCGAATTCGCGCATGTTTCTACGCACATTAACATCTCCGTATCGACATTGTTAAGCAAGCTGGTAGCTATTACCCCTCCCGTATGCATAACTTTACGAATACCTGCAAGAACAGGTCCTGGCTAAGCGAACAGTCACCAATAGCGTCCTCGATCTGCATCGACAATAATTGGTCATACTTCCCTGTGTTTGAGACATTACCTCGAGAAATATCGAACTTGCAGTTTGGATCTCCAGACTTAACCAAACTGTCTGGACTCAAAGGTCTGAAATGGTTCTTTAATGGTGGCCATACTAAAAACAAAAAAGCAATGGCATACTGATGCCTTCAGAGTTCAATTTGGAGGTCTTTAGGTCAACCATGAGGCCTAGGAGATCCTTCCACGGGAAGGATAGGCATTGCAAGCTACAGGGGAGGGTGGCACATCAATCCGTAGGCCGAGGAGAAGAGTTAAAATCTTAATCTTGGAGTACCAAGGAATACCGTTGCCAAACACCGGTTGTCTAGTTTCACAAACGCACATTTAGGATTAGTACTGGTCTTGTAAAACAATTTTTGCGTGCGTAGTAACAGTACTTCTATTACCACCCCCAACTACGTTGCCGGCGCTTTGCTTGGGGAACATCAAGAGTACTAGCCGTTCCACGCTTGTTTATGCCGTCTATAAATTCCTTTGTTCATCTCCGACCGCTTTTGCTGCCGTTGATCAGTCTGCTCTAACGTCTGGATCTGCTCCACCTCGGACCACAGATCTTGATCCATCATCGAGTAGATCACACGGACCTACCTACCATTGCGGCATACTTTTTTTGCAGGGGATCGCGTGTTCTATACAGCTGCTAAATCTTGTTTTAAGTGTAGTGCTTTCGACTAGCTCACACCTTCAATCCATTTTATACCTTCAACTCACTCCTGTTTTCCCGCCTGTGAACCATTAATTTTTCCTGTTTACTACATACACTTACACCTTTTTAATCTATTCCCTGCGCTAGCAAGCATTCAGAGTTAAGAAAAATCCATCCCGAATGCGTCTGGCACCCTGATTTTCGTAACTATTCCCTTCGTTGCTTACTCTGAACGAACCATATATAGGTGGTAGCTACCATTTATATTTTAGAACCGGATAAGAAAGAAACAATCTGTTGAGAAGTAGAAGACGAATCGATCGCTGGGATAATATGTCTTTTCGTCTGACGTTTCGAAATCCGTCAGGTGAATAAACATATTGTCCCAGCGATCGATTCGTCTTCTACTTCTCAATAACTTCCTGGGGCTCGCACGTTCGCTTGTATTATAAACGATCTATGTAACAAAACGAAATACGTGGCCTATCGTTCGCTTTTCTGTCCTATGCCGTAGTCTGATCTTAATGGAATAGAACATAACTTTATCTGTATTTTCGCTTGACCAAACCTTGAGTATTTTGTTCCTCATTTTCTTTGTCTTTCCTGTTCTTCACCAG